AGAATTTCATTAGTAAAAATATGAATAAAAGAAGTCATTACCTACAGTGTTCTTATAATCAAGACCTAATCTCCATTTGGATTTGGGATAGGAAAAAGGGAATTAAAAACCTCATGGTTTATTGTAGTTCCTCTTAGAAATTTCCCACTATGATTTGCTCGTTTAAGACTCTCTCTAGGTTAATCACAGAAGTAGACAAGTAATAAATATCACTTTAGTGACTGCTCAAGTAAATAAAAAGGAAGTCAGTTTTTAAAATATATCTGGACCAGAATAATACACACTAATTGAAAACGAGTCAGTCTAGTGAGGCAAGTAATGAGGAATTGTAAAAGCCAGGGTAATATATTCAAAAGGTATAAAAATCGGTCAGTTTATATTTGCTAAGGCACATTTGAGCTTTAATTATTTATACCACTTCACTGCATATGGAGCATTATTTTATTAATTAGTCTTGAGAGCCATTCAGTTGTAGTTGTTATGCTGTGCAGCTGGATTGGGGAACACAGATTCATTCCCAGGGGTGTGAAAAGTGCTTTGAGAGGAAGACCGCACTTCCCAATGACCTGAGTGGACTATCTTGGGATTCTACCTACAAAAAAAACCTGTAGCCTCTCTATCATAGCAAATGAGATAGACTATATATTTTAACTTTAAGGAAATAGTGTAAGACAGATGATATTTTGCTATAAAATTTTGTCATTAATCTGGAAAGATAATATAAGAAAAGTCTAAGTTATGTGTTTTGAAACACTCTGGCTTATACAAAATTATACTTTCAACTATTGGCATTTTAGTGATGCATTTGTTCCCATAAGAAAGCAACAAGCAAGAGTATTAATGACTTAAAACAGAGAGTAAGCAGATGATTAAAATGTGACATTACAAATACAAAAGGAATAAGTTTATGATTACAAGTGGCCTATATTGATATCAAGCATTATAAATATATGTGTGTGTGTGTGTGTGTGTGTGTGTGTGTGTGTGTGTGTATAAAACCATTGTATCAAAGATCTTATAAAGAACCATAATTTGTAAGTTTGGAAACACAGTAAAGTCAAGAAATTGAATAAAAATGAAGTATAAAATCTGTCATTAATGAGATGTTTTGTTTTGTTCTGATTTTAAACAGGGTGCCTCTGTGTAGTTCAGGCTGGCCTTGAACTCACTATGAAGCACAGGATGGCCTTGAACTTAAAGTGAGCCTCTTCCTTTGGTCTCCAGAGTGCTGGGATTGTAGGCATGCACCACCAAGCCCAGCCTAATGATGAGATTTTGATGGAAATTTATACTAATTGTATTTCCTTTCCTTCTTCCTGACATTGGAGCCAGGTATGGTGAAATATGCCTGTAATTCCAGCACCAAGAGAGGCTGAGGCAGGCGATCACAAGTTCAAGCCATTCAGGGCAATTTACTGCCTTAGTGAGACCATCACAAAACAACAACAGCAACAACAACAACAACAAAATACTGGGGATGTAGCTCGGTGTGAAGTCCCTGGGTTCAGTTCCCAGTACAGAACAACGATTATGACAAACTGACTTCAGAAGATTCAATTGAAAGGCACAGTTTGAAGGATTTTATTTTATTGTTTTGACCATATGCAAATAGTGTACCACTAACTAGAGAGCCCTGATGTTACCTCAATGAAAGGGCTACTGCATAATGTGACAACACTGAAGAAAACAGGGCACTGAACTATTTTCTCTTCAACACCCAGGAGTAATGATGTTGCTTGAGGAAGGAGAATGTTTCAGGAGGAGGGTGTTCCTTAAAGGTGCCAAGAGAAGCTCTTGAACACACTGGGCCAAAGTACAAGCAAAGCCCATGTGTACCCAAGCACGAGTCACAAAACGATGCTTAATTGGGCATAAACAGCAAAATGTTGTAAGCAAGGAAGGAAGGAACATAACTCTTTGTTCTTTATCTCCAGGCCCCTATTCTTTCTTAGTAGCGTAGCGAATAATGAAAATTTACTAGTATTTCATTGGCTTTTTTTCTTCCCTCTTTTTTGGTTACATTTTCCTCCATCTATTTATACTAGGCATATTACAGAGTGTAAGTATAAAAATGATGCCCCTCCAAATTTCCAGAAGCACATGATTTACTGAGAGTGATAGTAATCAAATAATTGCATATATATATACATATATATATATATACACATATATATGATGCTAAAATGTAATTTACTAAGGAAAAGCTGACAGTGTCATACTAGTGTATAAAAAGGGAGTGTTAAGCGGGAGTGTCAGAGAAGAGCTTGTGTAATATCTGAGCTAAGATGTAAGGTTACTAGATGTCAAACTGGACCTAATGAACAGATAGGTGTGGGAAAAAAGGGTTTCAGAAAGAGGACTAGTATGTTTCAAGCCTTACCTGAGAGGTATATGAATAACAAGAACAACAACAACAAATCCACAAAATACAATATGGCTGGTGTTCCATGAACAAGGGGAACAACAGTAGGAAAAGTGAAGATTAAGGTCAGACAGCTAGATAATTTCATTGCCCTTGTAGAAGTTTTGGTTTCTTTCTGAGGTATTAAGAAACCATTGAACAGTATAACAACGAGGACTGACATTATTTATTATGTAATTTCCATACTTATATTTTTACAACTTTTGAGTGAAATGTAGATATTATAACCCTAGGTGACAAGAACAGATGCAATGAGATTAAGAGATTTTTTTCTAACTATGGTGGTGATGACAGGAGACAGAGCTAGGAAACAATTTTGGAGGTAATTGATCTCCAGATGTGTTGGCAATGAAATGCCGGAGGTTGGTCACTCTGAAAAGGTACTATACCAATCTGCTGTGGTATTTTCTGGATAGGAGAAAACATTTCGATGTCGTGACATTTTGTAGATGGAAGCAATAGAAAAATAAAGACGCAAAGGAGTTTAGAGCTTTGGAAAACAGTTATAATGTCTGATGATAGAAGCTAAGTTGTATTTGGAGGATGGTAAAAATGGAGGAACGGTGTAACTAGTACAAAACACAGGATTATCAGAGGGTTCAAAATCCTGTTATGTCAAACAATGGTAACAGATAGATACCTAAGTGAGCATAGGACCAAGGGGGGATTAATGAACTGAACTCGGGTGTAAGTTATCCTCCAGTCTTGTGTCTTCATCTCCCTGGGTCATATTATACTTGTGAGACTGCTGAGTGAAGACTGAGACTAGTATTGACAGATATTGTACTGTTTATGTATTAACAAGTACCAAAGCCAACAGTCAGGGGTGGGAAAGCAGGACTTCCACCAAAGTATGTGCTAAAAGGGACTGTGGCAGATTTCTGGACCAATTTTCTCATCTTTCAGTTGCTGAACAAAGTAGGGATTGTGATCCAAATCATAGAGGAAAATGAGTGGAATTTCAGTCTCCTTACTCTTAGTGTACTTCCCCAGTGATTCACTTGCTTTAATTTCTGAAATTAGAATAAAATTATACCTTTTATCAGGAAGCCAGCCTCATTTCACTACATCATATAGTGCATTCTATTTAAAATGTCCATTCTTCTCAGTCCATGTTCTTCTATAAATATACTAGTGTTTGACTATTTATTCAAAGCTCAAATTTTGAAAAAAAAACATAGCACTACTAAATTATATCCTACTACAAAAGCTAACTTAATAGTCTGGTTTATATAAAGGGAAATGGCTAATGGAGAAACTGGCAGTTTTCCTGGCATTCTTTTGTAAAGATCTCGGGGTCTCCCTTCATAACCTGTCCCCTTTTACATAATCATCTATATTTTCTTCTCTGGAATATAAACCCTTGACCTCTTTTCAAAATGCGACCTTTGGCTGTGTCTCCATAGAGATCTTGCTTTAAAGTGATCAACATACAAAAGCAGTACCATTTTATCAAGTTTTTGTTACTTGATGGTAATTGATTTGTTTGGCTACTCATTTCTGTTTGTGTATCTTTTATTTTCATTTCAAAACCACTTATGAGTGTCCACTATACCAGAGATGCTTTGCTAGGCTGGAGGGTCTTAGAAATGAATAAGGCCACATCCTTGCCTTTCCCACTCAGAGCAGAGAAGATAGAAACATAATTAAAAACTATGAAAAAGAAACAATTGTTCGTGGCTAGTGGATGATACTGAACAAGTCATTATTCTGCAAATTGGTACACAGAAACATTTATCTTGCCTTTCTTATATGAATGGCATTGGCTACTCAAATGTTGGATGAATGAACAAAATTTATAGACATACTCGAGGCAGTCAATGACTAGAGAATGGCAGAAATAGCAATCATCACATTGTACCCTCTAGACATTGATCATTTCTAAAATCACACACAAGATAGAGAAACAAGGCATTATGTACTTCCTAATAATAAAACACATGAACAAGTGTGAAGCAGTCTTACAAAAAAGTCCAAAAGCAAATCTGAATATGACCCACTCTGTAGAACTGTACTATTCAGTAGCCAATACTCACATCTGGCTACTGAGCATATGGAATATAGCTAGGTTTAATGAGATGCACATTTTCATACTGACTGCAAGCTGAAGTGACAATAAAAGTTGTCTTATAGCTATATAACAATATAACTATTAGAGGAAGCCAGGTAAAATGTACTAGGAAAATTGGCATTTTTTAGACCTCACTGTGTATCTATAATAATTTCAAAAGTAAAGGAAGAAGTTTGAGAAATAAGTTAACCAAATGCAATGTGCATTTCTTATTTAAATAAACTCAGAAAATATTAACATGTTACATGTATAAGAGAAATAAAATCTTGAAAACTTATAGGATATTTGATATAAGGCAATTATTGGTCTTTTAAATATTATGACAGCACTGTGGTTAGTTATAAAGAGTGAACACTTATCTTTTCAAGATGATCCCTCAAAATGACATATGCCTGATATTTGGTTCAGAATAATGGGGAAACCAATGGAGGTACCCAAGAAATATGAATAGTGTGAATTGATGATTGCTGATGTCTTAATGAGGGACTAGGCTTAAAAATGTCCTACCCTGTGTACATCATTCTGCTTCTGAACTGCTGGGAAATCGCCTCCAATAGGTGCCTGGCGGCTTAATTCGTCATCTTTCAGTTGTAGCCACACCAGAAGCTCCTGAAGAGAAAGGTGCAGACGCTTCCACTGGTCAGAACTGGCTTCCAAATGCGACCTAAAAAATAGCAGAAGACAGCTATGTCAGACTAGAACTACAATTGACGATTCTACCAATTCCATTTCATTGGTTGGTTATTTCCAAAATGTATCACCTTATTGGGAAACACACAGCAGCCTCTACTAAAAATCTGACTATCTGCTTTGGAAACCTATAAAAGGGATATGGAGGGAATTCTGATGGCAAGTTTGAGGAAAGGTAGTGTTCATCTGTATGTTTGTCTCCACGGGAAGAATTCAGACCTTTTAGCATGGCATGTATACTGGAATCTAGTTGCTTTCCCATTCTATTGCAGTTAATGATTCTTATCTAATATTTCTGGTGGGAAAAAAACAAACTGGACTCCACGACTAATAAAAACCTCTAGTACTCTCGTGTCTAATGCCAGTGCTGGAATTCTTTCTGTTTTGAGAAATGGAAAAGTATCTCCCTACATTTTGACTTTGCCATTTCTACACCCGAGGCAGCCTTTCCGTGGACTCCTTCCGTCTGGCGTCTGTCCTTTTCTGCTCCTCTTCCCATCTGCTTCTCCTTTCTCTTTGCCCTTCTTTATTCCTGCACACCTGGGATTTGTTTTCACCAAGTCCCAACATTTTCTGCTTTGTTTCCTTTGTGTAAAACTTACTGAGACAACAACTCATGTGGAAGAGTAAAATCAGACTTTGGTCTGAAAGCTTTCTCCAAACATGAATAATTTAGGCAGGAGATTTGGGCACTTTAGCATCAACTGTATTTAGGATATGTTAATCATTAGAAACCATTTAAGAATATACAAATGAGTGATCTGTGGTATAAAATCCACTTTCTCTTGAGGATGAGAAGCTAAATTAATAGAATAAATCATCATCCAGAAAACAAAGCCGGAAGGCCCATGTTAGGTAAGCTTTAGTAAAGCTGGAATTACGTTGCATCACTTACGTATTCAAATACTAATTAATTCATAAAAATTAATACTGCCTATAACATAAATATAATAAAGTTTCTAATGCTGCAAAGATTGAAATACAAAGTGTTATAACCTAAGCCCCCCTAACTATCCTAAGGTCTGTTCTAAGGTATAAGCCCACCTGCTGCTTCCCCTCCCCTTCTCCCTTCAAATCTAACTAGGTTAAGTTTTAACTTCCTAAAGGCCATAAAACAAAGGCCTGAGGTAATAGCTCCTGACAACCTGGGTCTTCCCTACCCAAAAAGACCCGGTACCCCGTCACACATTGTGTTAATTGCATTAGATTGTATTAGATTGTACATTCTTCACTAAAATAGCTTCGTTTGTATCGTAACAATAACTGTAACTTGGCCTTACTGTAAATGTGTGTTTTCCTTTCCCTGTGGGCAAAGGATTGATATGTTAATCAATGTTCTCCTCTGTAAAGAATTGTAAAATCTTACCTAATTGATATGTTAACCATTGTTGCCCTCTACAAATAGAACAGTTGTGGTGCTAAAGTAAGGTGACTAAGGTTGTTAATTGCTGTTAGACTTCTCTATTCTTTGTTAAGAAAACCAAGATTTCTTCTTATCTAAACTTGCTAGTATGCAGGGAGACTTGGAATTGCCATTTCTGCTTTGTAGTGCGTCACACCCCCACCCCCCTCCTTACATTGTGTGACCAACAGCTGTTTGTGGATTTACAAGATAAAAAGTCCTGACTTTTAGCTGTGAGGTGCGCAGTCTCCAAATTGGCTCCCGGAGACTCGTCACCAGGCCTGGATTTTACCTAATAAAGCCTTTGCTTCCCAAATTTTAATTTCTTGCTTTCTTGGATTTTATACCGGGGTCCGAGTTATCACACAAAGCTGAGCAGCCAGGTAGAGTAACATTTCCCTTGGCCATTTGGTAACTTAGCCTGACATTTCAAATATAATTTTCCTTCTGGCTTTCACAGAATTACCAAAGAGTTCCAACTACTGAAATTAAATTGTTCTGTTTTCAGAGGGATAATCTGATGATATATAAAAGCCTTTAAAATGTGCAAATACAATAACCCAGAAACTTAAATTTAAGGAATTTATACCAAGAACGTAACTGAAAAACCATACGAAGATACACACAGAAAACCAGTATTTATAGCTTCATTTATGATTGCTATAACAGAGAAACAACTTAAAACTTCAATACTAGGGAAAATGCAATGGAATCCTATGCAATTTCAATACAACAACCTAGGCAAATATTTATGGATAAGGAAAGGATCACCATATCAGTTGCTAGGCGAGAAAGCAAGTTTAAAAAAATGAATACAATCTATTTTTCTATTTTCCTAAGCTCTTTGTGCATGTGTGTATGTATTTGTGTGCACATGCTTGACTATGCGTGAAACAAATTCCAGAATGACAACCTGGTTATCCCTCAGACATGGGCGTACAGGTAATCTATTCTTTCATTTCTTTACCTCCCCAAATCATCAGAATTCCTTCAACGAACCACATAAACATAGAGAAGAAAAATTTTCTATCAAGAGAAATTAAATTGTTCCAAGACCCTAAAAATATAATATCTAATAAATGACTCATGATATACCATCAATGCAGTGAATTACATATAACAGTACATGAAGAGTGCACACAGGGTGGGGATAAATTATTTTATGTTTCTGTTCCCTCCTTGTCTTTCAGTTATCAGTTTTTCATGAGAATTCCCTATACAAGATTTTAGCTGTTTAATGGCAAGTAATGAATACTAGTTACAAGGATTCCCTGAGGTGATTGGAATTTGCAATTTGATCCCCTTGAGGGTGAAAGAGGCTGTCAAGCAGGATATTCTAAAAGGTAGGCAGAGATAGGCACAGTACCAACAAGGAAAAAAGCTTGACAGACACTGGTTAAATAAATATTTACCAAGTGGCTCCAAGTTCCAGTGAAGCATAGGTCTGTAGGCAGAAGGAGAAGGAATGGAGAAAGAAATGATGCCTAATGCTTGGCTTTATCTCTTAGAGGAAAGGAAATCCCCCTGTGGTGAGGATTTGCTGAAGGGCAGGCAGCCCAAGGTGAGACCTCCAACTAATGTTTGGTTTATAAAAGGAAGTACTACAACCCCAGTGCTGTATAATTATTAGTGTGTTGTGATTCCTTTGTGTCTCTAAAGACAGAAAAAAATAGCTCTGAGTCCTAGGGGATTCGGTTCTAATAGATGTAAAAGTAACTTAATAGCATGAGCTAGGCAGAGTGTTGGAACCCAAGGACAGTCAAGAGTTAACTGAGCAGTATCAGGAGGACCTGGAACCACAAGTTATGGAAAGCTCTCAAGTATGTGGGTGAGGGGACTTTTCTTATGGTGTGGAGTTAGACACAATTTCAGAATGTTTGATCACATTACCTGAGGAAAGATAGAAGAAATACAGGCAGATTGAAAAGCAAAAAGGAAATTGGGATTTTAAAATTGTACTTGTAAGAAAATTTGCTACTTCAGGACCCTAAATTTAGTCAAGTCCAGTTTAAACATTTTTTTTTCTCTTCGCAATATAAGCCTGGACAATTCTCTTATACTTGCATATGGATTCAGATGTTTCCTTTTTTAACTTGTAAAGGTCCCCTTTCACCTGTGACCAGACTGTCCTTTTTCATTTGTAAAATAGCTTTTCCCAAAGGAAAGTGTTGCAGGACCAGACCAAGACTATAGGCTGATGAATTCTGTAGATTTTTACTGCCAGAAACACATAAATATTTCTAGCTCCACACTGTAGTGCACTTCTTTCTTCTCTTGAGGACCCACACTTGATTCCTTTGAGTATGTACTTTAAACTTCTGCCCAACAAATCCCTCTCTATCTCTTACTGATGTGTTTTAAAAGTTCATTTTCTGTGACAGGAGTCAGCAAAGCCACAAACCTGTTCTATGGGTAGAATGTCAGCTTTAGAAACCTCCTAGACCGCTGCGAGGTGACATTAACTACTTATCAAATGACTATTCTCCTTACATTTTTCTCATGCACTGGAGGAAAGATGTCACATGAGAACAAAAACTTAAGCAAAGGACAGTAGGATAAGGGCAGAAGTGAAAGTCAGTCTGTGGTTCCTGCCTGAAAACCGTGCATAGAAAGGTGTTTACTCTAAAGTTGTGTTTCTCAAACTTTAGTCTGCATAAGTAACTTTTGAACCGCTTATTTAAAATCTGGATTCCTAGGTCACACCTCCAGAATTTCAGTACTTTTTAAACAAATATCCTTATTTTTTAATAAGAACCTATACAAGTGCACATTATCATCAGTCTTCATTGTTTGAGAAGGAATTTCTTAAAATATGTTTGACATGCTCTGGACATACTTGTTGTTCCCTATAGGGCAAAGACACTATTTGTCTATGACAAGAGTTTGAAGATCTATAATGAAACACTGTGAACTCTGAAAATATTTTCTTTGACCATGGTAAGTTTATGAAGTATCTTCAAGACATGTTTTTAATGTATGTGTTGGAAACAGCTGTCCTACTTTTATTTTTATGAACATACACCAAATATTTCTAAATGATTAGTGTATGTTTGTGTTTGAAATCCCTCTTCCTGAAATAATTCTGTGTATTTGCAAGGAATCATTTTGTTTTAGTTTTGATTTTTTTGGTATATCAAAGGTCATTCAGGCTGGGTGGAACCTTTGAGATTACAGATCAAACATCTTGCTTTGCATCTGTGACTATCAAGATGCAAAGGTTTAAAGACAATTGCTGAAGCACATAACTTGAGTGATCTTATTTACACGGGAGACATGGCAATTAACGCCATTCTTAGATGAGGAAATCCAACCTTCCTGGTCTTAAGCAAATGTTCTGGATCTCTGAACAAACAGGCAGCTTATTATTGTCAATTATACTGTATTTCTGCTACCTACTGAATAGAAAATAAAAGAGGTGGTTTCAAGAGGCACATGTAGCTTGTACTCCTTTTATATTAATCTTTATTAGTGAAGACAAGAGCTTAGGGGCTACTAGCTGTTAACAAGGCAAGTGCTGATCTTTAAAAAGCAGATGATTCCCTCAATTTGTAAGGTTAAGGTAAATTGCAGAA